GTTTTTGTGTCTCCGCGCGAGCGCAAAAATATTTTGAATTCACACCTCGTGGATTTCCTAATTATAGTGAAAAAATATGCGCAAAAGGCGCCATCTGATTGGTTAATTAATGACGTTTATTGTTATGGCGATAAAAACAAACAAAAAGCCTATGGGGGGGAGGGGGAATTTTTTTTCTGGCGCGTCCTTTTTTCGGGCGGTTTCGGGCGTCGTAGGAAATACGGACGGTTTTTGTTACGGGCGGTTTCGGGCGTCGTAGGAGTCAAAGGGTTAATTAAGGTGACTGTCTAATAACGTTTAGATCACAATTTTTAAGACCAAATTTAATGATGAATTCAAATGTTGCAAAGGAATAAAGGGGCATAAATATTAAATTTTGGTGGTCATATTTTTGAGATATTACAATTAAACACCACTGAATACCAAACTAAGGAGTCTAGATTGACCCATCAGTGTAGTATATTTTACCTCCATTGGCTGTAACTCTGACTGCTAGTATGTTTTCTCCACCAACAAGATCAGGAATTGACAGCAGCAACTAAAAGATCAAACCCAATTATTTAATGAACATTTAGTAAATATTAGCTAGTAAAGGATTGCTTAAAATATTCTCCTATGTGGATGGAAGATTAATGATATATGCCCCCCTCCCCTCTCCGATCCCTCCCCCACCCCCAGAAAAGTTTTCCACGAATATGCTAAACAAAAATATGGTCTCATGAAAGGATAAATGAGTAATTTTTTTTACAAATCATACCTCTTTTGCATAGTTCCCATTCCCAGGAAGAAATTCCTTCAAGAAATTTAAAAAATCATAAATAATCATAAATATGCAATAGATAGATCAGCTGGAGAGGAGGGTACTCAATGCAATTATCTTCCCATGCCTTCATGTTCTACATTGTTTTTATTATATTTAATAGGTATTTATATTTACAAATCTTCATTAAAAAATTCAATTTCTGACTTCACAAACAAGGTCTTAATTTTTTTATTCTTTCCCATGAGGGTTGAATATTAGATTTTCTTGCTTTAAATTTTGTATTACTCACTACAACTTTATTTGTCACATGCTTCCTTGTTAATTCCTTGTATTCATCTTCAAATTCAATAAAAGAAAAAATACACTAAAAATTGTGTAAAATTTAGAGAGTATATAAAAAATACACCCTGCCCCCCAATCTCCCGTAAAAAAACGAAAAGTCTAATATCAGCCACCCCTACCCCCTTCACAATACACACACTCATGCACCCATCACGCGCACAGACGTGTCCTATACTAGACGTATCCCCAACAAAGAAAATCAGGACCAAAATGAAATAGCAACTTTGTCAGGCATCCACTTTCCTAAAAAAGGAAATGATATTCTTACCTAGAACTGATATTAGTTCTGAAGTCTTCATAGAATTATTTTCTTCGTAATCAAAACCACTAAAGGAAAGAAACGCACCAAAAATAAGATCCTGTAATGACTGACGACTGCTATCGCGGGCTTCCTGTGGGCCGATACATACCTTTCTCGAGTGAAAGCTTCCAAAGCATTCTTGTAGTTATTTTCAAATAAAAACTGAGCTACCAAAAGGTGAACTCTTTTAGAATCCATTGATTTCAGAGAGTAAGTATGAAGATATCTAATAAACGCAAAAATGAATGACCTGCTACTAAGTAAATAAATAAAATTATTATGATGCTGAGTGACCAAGCATTATCGTTATCACAGGAATCCCAAGTTCGTGTCCGTTACCTCCGTATTTTTATTAATATTTCCTCGGAAAAAAATATTAAATTTATAATAGAAATCTAAAATAAATATTCATACCATAAAAAGATTCCTATGGTTCGACCTTTATATAAATAGCAGTCTAGGGGGAATAGAAATAAGAAGAGCTCTACACTTAAAAAAATGTTTTAAATTTTTATAAAAAATTCTTTTTAAAATAAAGAGAGGAGATAACTAGCTAAAAACTAGCGTGAGCTGTTTCGGTGTTCCTAATGAAACAGTGATGATAAAAGGGTAAATTTTACACCGTGAAAAGATGAAAAAACTTACTGACGTTTCGGAGTAAAAGAGGCTCTTTCAACTCCGACGAAGGACTAGCGTCCGAAACGTCAGTAAGTTTTTTCACCTTTTCACGGTATAAAATTTACCTTTTTATCTTCACTGGTTTTTTTTTAATTAATATATTCTATTGAGCAATAGAAATTGCAAATAAAATTGATTCGACACTCGATTCCTTCGACATTCGATTCTCATTCGACATTCGATATCGTTGCTTGGTATCCAGGCCAGCGGTTGTTTTGGCGGGACATAAGGAGAATTTGAATGAAGAAGGCAAAGCGAGGGAAAAGAGGTGAGTTCAAATCCAACCCTTTTATCCAATGAAATACTCCTTCCAATTCTCCCAGTCTTTTGCGGTCCGCCATTACTAAAAACGAACTGTCGAAGCACCTGTGTTAGGTTCGACTTTTTTCAAAAATACAATGGGTTTTGTGGCAAAGAGTGTCAGAATTCATCGTTCTTCGAACGATTCACAATGGCATTTCTTATAGACCTTGAGATCCATTACAAGAAGCACGCCTTGACACATCAGAGCTTCGAGTTTATCACTTTCACTTCGTGATGTAGACTATAAACACCCAGAGCTCCCTTACCTGAGGTAAATTCTTGCCTTTTGGTTTAAAGTACCTCCAAGATTAAGAGAACACAAGAAACAGAAAGAAGCGCCAAAAATAGACTCCAACACGAAAAGCAAAGGCTCCACTTCTTCTTTCCTTTTCTATTAATTCAAATGTTTTGTACATGTGTGGGATATTGCTAGCTATGCTCCGTTATTTTCAAAGAGAACTGTTTTTCTATTCTTCAGTGTCTGCTATTAGAAAAGTTCGAGTCAGTAAGAGTAGGAAGAAGATGATAGGACTCGCAAGAAGCCAAGTTTGTCGTTATTCCAGCGTAAACTTTACGATGCAATCGTCATCCACTGCGAAGCTGATTATTTTAGAAGGAAATATTGGAGTTGGTAAGACAACTTTAGCTTGTCAACTGGCAAGAAAGCTGGACTACAAGCTTTTCTTGGAGCCTACAACAAAGAACCCTTATTTAGCGAAGTTTTACGAAGATCCCAAGAGATACGCATTAAAATTACAGTTATGGATATTTCGCCAGAGATTTCGTATGTACATCAAAGCTGCTAAACATCTTCTTGAAACAGGTAAAAAATACTATGAAATTCTTTTAGAAGAATTTCAATTATACTTTTTTAAAAGGTTTATTTAGCTCTTTTCATTTTTTTCAATGTTTTAACCAATTTTAATTGCTTTTATTCTAATAATTAAATTTTATAAGCTTGTTTTTGTTTTAATAATTAATATTGCGTTTGCGTTTTAAAATGACACCTCTCGTCATTTTTAGGGACTTTCCCTAAGCTTTTCCATAACATTCCAGTCACCTTCCACTTATTTCATTTAATTTCATTTGTACACAGGACAAGGTGTCTTGCTGGACAGATCAGTTTTCAGTGATTGTGTTTTTGCTGATGTGAATTTTCAGGAAGGCTCTATTTCTGAAGAAGGTATTAATAAGTTTTATCAATTCCCCTAGGATTGGAGTAGCCTGTGTAGCAGCCCAAATTGGGGGTGGGACCTATGGAGGAGAGGACAATGCACCACTGTGCAGGCTATGATTAGAGGGAAGGGGTGGACAGAGCAATGGAGATTGTATTTGAGGGAGGTTATAGTCAATTTCTACATTCAAACTGTTATCATTTAATTATCTTATACAATACCACATATTGACCTCTTTCCCTTGGGTGTAATGTCTTCCCATTTTAGACCTTGTGTCATTCCCTAAAGAATAAGATTCTTTTTCTGAGTGGTTATTCATACTGTATTTGTTTCTTTTCATGCACAACCATTAAAATATAAATGATAATTTAGGAATGACACATGGTCTGATATGGGGGAAATTATGCCCAAGCTAATTTTGTCTATTCCTGAACATGTCAATCTCAGTCTTGGAAAAGAAATTTTTTTTGAAGGAAAGTCATTAATTATTTTGTAATTACCAATAATACAGGCTACCAGTACTATAATGAACTGAAGACCAAAGCCCTGAGAGCTGTTCCTGTACCACATATATTGATATACATTGATGCATCACCAGAAACATGTAATGAAAGAATCCATGGAAGAGGAAGGGTAAGTCTAATCAATATTAATCAAATCCAACTAGTGGTCTAWCATYAATGCTGCTTTCTGATTGGATGAGCTACTACTGGGCTATAAGTTATGTTCTACTAGTAGAGAAAAGTGCTGGCTTTCAAAACCAAATTTGCATCTATATATTTGACCTACTACTAAAACAATTTTTGGCCTCATGACCTATTGACTCATAGCCCATTGGGGCTTGGAGACTAATTGCTAAATATTCATGTCAGCTTCTACAAAATGTTTTTGGAGCCCTGCAGTAAAAAAGGCTTGACTGAACCACCTCTCGACTCATCAAAGTCAAGACATTGCTAATTCATTAATCAAATTGAAATTTAGCTGGTTAGGTTTTGCGGAGGGAGGAAAAGTTACGAACCCTCAGAAATACTCTGATTCAAGGGAAAGACCTAACAAAACTTTAATTGCATGTGATACCAAAGCCAAAGATCAAAATTGAGACCCCAGAGGTGAGGTGCCCTTGATTCCCAGAAAGAAATATCACTACCAAATATCAATATATATTTGTAATAAAATGTTTATAGGACTTTGAAGGAGGAATACCTCTGGCATATCTCAGAGGCTTAGATAAAGCATATAAGAACATGTTGAATGAAATGAGGTAAATAATTGTAAGAAATATATGTTATTTACTGGCCAGGAGGTCCGGATAGGGAAAAACTGTGCCCGAGGTCTTGAATATACGGACCAAGGCAGTTAGGCCAAGGTTCGTTTTCAAGAGCGAGGACACAGTTTTTCCCTATCCGGACCGACTATAGGACGGTAAACATCTTATTTATTTTTCTCCCGTATTTTATTTTACTTGTTTTTGTAATCGTTTTGTTTTGTTGTTTAGCAGCAAAGGATACTGGACCGCGAGGGCAGGCAGATACTTACAAAATATATAATAAAAACTTGTTCTGAAAAATCAGACTGCCCTCAGGACTTTGTTGAAGAAAAGTATCATTGGCATGTAGTTTGAAAAGGCATCTGACCAATTATGAATGACACCACCTGCACTAATTTTTACAGGATTTAAAGACACAACGCTAAGAGCACACACTAGTTTGTTAATTTAATTTGCTAAGGACACCATGTAATATGCAAATTAACGTGATTTTACAGACGAGTGATCGGCTGTCGAACAAAGATGGTGTGTAACTATAGAGGGATTTCATTCTTTTCCAGAGGAAATACTGGAAAAATAGATTTCAAATGTCAATGTTAAGCGAAAACAAATTGTTTGGTGCAATTTTGGGAAAATTTGTGTAAGTTCTAAAAATCACCCCCAAAAAGTCACACCGTTTTCATATTAACCCTTCACTTAGCCAAATAATAATGGCTGCTCAATAGCAGGACATGGAGACCAACTATATCAGACTGTGTGTGACCAGTCAATGTGACCAGTTTTTTCTTAAGAGAGGACCAGCATTTTGCTGGACGTTGTCTTTTGACTGGCAGATACAATGTATTTTTAGCCATGTCAGCAGCAGTTGCAGCAAGATACTTCCAACCAGACATGCTTGATCCCAAAACTGTTTTCATGTATTTCTTATCTCATTATGTAGGAGTCATGATTGCAAGGTCCTTGTTTATGACTGGTCAGATTTTGGCTACCAACATGAGGTACATTGTGTTTTTTTTTTTTGTTTTTTTTTTGTCTTGCTCTTTCTGCAAGAGTTATTGCTCCAATAGTATTTTCATTGTACCTAGGTTTCCAAAGATGTCAAAAATACTGACTCTATGAAGTGGCAACAAGACACTTTAACAAGATTTGCAGAAGTGTAAGTTGACTTAAAGGGTGTTTGTGTTTCAGGATTAAATCATTTATTGAATATTAATCTCATACTTTAAACAGAATATCAGACAAGAGTAGGTTAAATCAAGTTTTGAATCTTGATTATACAATCCCAGAGGCAGAATTCACTGACGTGACAGACGAGGAGGTAAGTGTAAATATACTATTTGACCAAAAAATAGTTAATTTCTTGCTTGCTGATTGGCTATTTTCATCATCAATAATAGGACAGACCAATAAGCTGACGTCATCAAGTGCACGTTCTTTCCATATATTTATTCAATCACTAAAAAATGTTGAAAAAATGTGCATAAGTGAATTTTGTGGGGTCCCTCTTGTGGTCCTTTTATGGTCTGTAATCATGGAATGGCGTCAACATATGATCCCAACTTTGCAGTGAAACCACTTGCTGTACTCATGGTTCCACTTGAGTTTGGATCATATGCTGATGCCATTCCATGTTCATTAAGAGTACAGACCATAGATTGCAGGTTATGAGCAGCCATAGCAATCATTATCACCTTATTGGATGTATAATTTTCAATGACAGTGTGACACGCTACAAGCTGAAGAGCACAGAGGACACAAGTTAGAAACAGCAAGGAAAATTGTCAAACAAATGAAACAGATCAAAGAAAGTGTCATAGTCACCTCGGAATAAGCCTATTAACAACTTTAACATATTTTTACTGTACCTTTTCAGCTAAGGACAATTTTTCATYGTAAATATACATTTAGATACTGGAAGCTGGAAGCCAGGCATTAACTTATTCTCACTAGAAAATTTTTTAAATCTTATAATAGAGTGCTCACACTGAATCCGTGAAACAAATACTAATTTTTAGCACTAAATAGTGATAATTAAACAATAGAAAACAAAGGATTCTGTATGAAATAGTACTAATTAGTACTATTTAATGTTCACGGTTTTAGTGCGTGCACTAAATGTAGTACTAATACTGTAACTACTAATGTAGTTTTAATAATGCAAAGAATTTGATTCTCAGACTTGATGTTTATAAAAAATTCACTTTAGGAAGTCAGACCCTTAGAAAGGGGGACTCGTATCCTTCACATTCTTATTGTTGATGTAATAAGATTAAAAAGAGGAGGGGGATTCATTCACACCTTTAAGCCTCACTGGACAACACTGACAACAGACATGTATGATCAAAAAGCAGCACTCAAAGTTAAGATTCTATTTAACTGAATTACCAAGTCTAAAATTAACTAAGATTAAGAATGGAATGAATTAATATTTCTTATATTACCATATTCTGATCTGGAAAATATTTATTATAGGACACTCGGGCAACTAAGAATGGTTTTAACCGTGATTCTTCGGAAAAGGAAGATATTGAATATACCTGACAATGTACAGACTATTCGTAAAGCAACGCCATCAAACAAATTCTTTACTTTAAGTATCCATTTCGTCTCTGTACTACTTATTGTTTAGTTTACTATTCACTGAAAAACATCAACTTCCATATTGATGGTTGCAAGCATTCCCAAGCGGCCATTGTGGTGCCGATGCAAATGACAAATATTTTGTTAAATGGCACCAACATGGCCACGAAGACTTAAGGTGCAATCAAAGAATTGAATGTTTCGCAATATACATGTTTACAATAAACTTTTCTTATCTCATACATAAATGTTAAGCGATTATTATCAATTTTTATTTGTATAATAAAGAATTTTATACCAAATGACATGTACACTTGTGCTTGGCTATACCTGGTGTTTTTAAAAGCTTGTTTCTCATGCTGTACAGCTCAGCGTGTTTATATCACAGTACAGAGACATGCAAGATCGTTTTATATTCCTTAGTAATGAAATATTTGAGATATAACGCGCACGCTGATTGGCTGGCTATCCTGCTTATGTCAGAGGATAGACAAAATCGTTCAAAGATTGGGATTTCCAAGGAGTGATAATCCATTTTGTACATTCCGATCATTTTTTTTTACATGTAAATTCCTGTATGGCTGTCTGCTGAGTATAGATAACAGCTTGGAACTTTATACATTAGATGCATATTCTAGACAAGCTACAGAAGCAGATACAGGATTTTTTGTGTGGCCAGGTCATGGTTTGGTTTGGTTTGTTTTCCAAGATTCCAAGGTTTCCATCTCTTGACCAATCCGTATCGCTCATTTATAAAATATTTGACATAAAAAGCGCTTGCTGATTGGCTGGCTATCGTGTTTAAATCGGAGGACAGAGACACGCTCGCGCAAAATCATTGAAATATAATTTATGAAAGCAATATAGAACGACTGCTCATGTCTCCGTACTGTAATATAAACACTTTGGGAGCTGTAGTGTACTCTAAAAGCAAGACTACGCCTCGGGTTTCTTGGATTGTACAGTACAGTTTGACCAGCGATTGACCCTGAAGTCAACAGTCGCGGTTCGAGAAAAATAAACCTATTTTAAAACATGTTTTCCAAGTAAACCTAATTATTCTAATGCTGTTCAAAATACATTACATTCGAATCACAAAATGAATTAGCATTGTGATGATTTACTTTGCATAATAACGCTGGCTATACTTGGAAAATGTTTATACTTGCTGGTGGTAAAACACAGCTGCAGCATACCCGCACATTAGGCAACCCGGTGCACGACCAAGAGCGTCTTGTTTTAATTATCCTTGGCCGCATATTTAAGAGAAATTTTTGTAATAGTATCTAGTATCTTTGACCATATTTAAAAGAATCCTTTTTTTTAATTGACCGTATTAAAGAATATCCTTGACCATATTTAAGAGAATCCATGTTTTAAATGACCGTATTTAAGAGTATCCTTGACCATATTTAAGAGAATCCATGTTTTAAATGAC